AATCAACTGACCGTCAATTTATCCAGCCAGGCTGTTCGTACACAAACTCTGAAACAAACAAATGGGGATCTAGTGGTTCTCACTCATAGAGTAACCGCCCCAAAATCATCCGAAGTCATAGGGCGAATCAATTGTATGTGTGCTCTGGCTTTTGTCGATTTTATCCCGGCGTCTGATGATATGCCTAGACAAAGACCGAGCATGACGTTCCAGAAGACCCGACAAATACACATCAGCGTACGCTTGAAACCGATTATTTTCGAGAAATACACAACTTCTGACCGCACAGAAATCCAACAAGTTCTGCAATCTCAAACAGTTTCTTCCGTATCGAATGCATTTGCATTCCAAAAGACTAAACCAAAATCCACACAACTGGAAGGATGGTTAAGCATTAAATATTTAGTTCGACTGGGAATTCCTAAGGGTATAGCCAAAGCGTATCTGTTCTACACGGCTGGCTCGCTGATTCACTCGGACCCGTGCGTAACCAGTCAGTCGGATCAGTTGAGTTCTGAAGCATTACCTAAAAGCATCACTGATAGTGATATCTATACAGAAGCCCGAGGAACCGATTTTGTCTCCGTTCACGCGTTATGTGCTATTAGTCCAAAACATATTGGTTTTCTCTTTCTGGCTGCAAACAGTTTCGATTATCGCACTACCGCAGTCGGCGTAGAGACCACATTTTTCAAATCGGTGTATTCCGCTTTGCCAAGATGGTTGGCAAACGAAAACGACACAAACGATGATCCGTTTGAAGTGCCTCCAAGTTCCACAGTGGAGTATCAGCTGATAAAATTGCGCGTGGCATGGCGAGGTTCGGTTGTGGAAAAGGAACCCATGACATATTTTGGAAGGCTTGGCGATCAGAATGAAGGAAAACCTATGTGCTTTTATCGGAAGACATTGCAATCTAAACCGCAGGAGATTGATACGAGCAATGGAGAATTTATGATTCTTAAGAATTTGGAAAAATCAAGTTATGAGTTGATTAAGCCATCAGTGGAGTTACGTGATGCCGGATTCTACCTCTGTCGTGTTGTGGAATGTGCGACATGTCCGGGTGAAACCGATACTCCGGCACGACAGTTTCTTGTGTTTCCCAGAAAACTGAGCATGAACTTGTATGTGAGTCATGCATCATTTGAACAGAACGAGGTATGTCGAAACAACTATACCCTGATCGA